CAACCATGCGTGTAAGAAATTGTGTGCTACCTAAAATTTCACCTCTGGAAACTTTATCCCCATAAAGGACTTCACCACAGTTTTTTTACTGGATATACTGAGGTATATTTTATAAAAACTTTCAATTGTTTGCATGTAAAATAGAAACAAATATAAAAAATAATAGATATTGACAGTTCTCTATGTAGCTCTTCTTCTTGTGATTGTGCTGATCACGATGGTAAAGTCGTGTAATAGAGCTGCCAATTCTGAAAAAAAAATTAAGCGTTTCTGATTTTTATCAGTTGCGGCAATGCATCGATGCTTGCGTTGCCAATGTAGCATCTTCTAATCAAAATTACAGAGTTAACTTAGATGTCAGATGTCCGCTGTAAAGCGGAAGGGTGGGCATTACAGCGAGAAAGCAGAACCAAAGCCCGCTGGAAAGCGGAGCGTTGAGCAACCCCGTGATTCGGGCAGAAGGTATGACAGGCGCACGAACGAGACCACACCCGCTGAAAAGTGGAAGAGCAGGCATTACATCGGTATGAGAAGCACGGAGACCAGAAGAAAATGGTAAGTGGTTCCGGTGAGACTGCACCCGCTGAAGAACCCCACCAGAATTTGGCTTCAAAGAAGCAGCATGAATTTTAACCATCTCCGCCATCGGGACCCTGGGGTAGGCACTGGGGCCCAACGTCTGCGCGTCTCCAGTAAAAGATTGCAGCGAGAGCGTAAAAGCAAAATAGAGCGCAAAATCGAGAAGAGAAAACTAGCAAAAAAAGTTATTGAACACAAAACTAGTAAAAACTTGCAGGTGAACAATTGTTTCACTGTTTTGACATTCTGCTGTTAACATTTTACTAGTTATAAATCAGCTTTAAACTCTTTCCTTCACACACAAGCACTTAAACAGTCCGGTACATCATTAATATTTTGATTTACACTCATTTTACTCTTGTTTACGTATAACCAATTCAACAAATGGCAGCTTTTGACATTAATTCTTCTTCTTCTGCTAACTAATTTCTAGTTGCGATCCCGTACGAGTCCGGACTAGTCAGAATCAGTCAGATTTTACTGGAAATCGATCCCATACTCG